TACTACTTGTACAAGTACCTGCAGCAGCAATAGCTGCGGCAGTGCAAGCAGTAGAGGCAACGGTAGCAGCAACGCAAAAAATACTGTGTTGCAGCTTGGCATAGTCTAGAGTCCAGATGCAGAAATATCTTTACAGCGCATTTTCCAGCACAGATTACTTGGAGGTTCATGGGTAGTTATAGGTGGAGTTATAAGTAGGGTCACTATAAGTATAACCCATATTTGGGGACTTATAACGTCACCTATAACTACCCATGAACCTCCAAGTAGGCAAACATGCCAAGCGCCACTTGGAGCCTGTACTTGCTGCTGCAGGCTGCAAAGGCTTAGGGTTTGGGGATCAGGGTTTAGGAAATGAGGTTTAGGGTTTAGGGCAGCAAATCACAAGTGCTCCGTTGCTCCTTCGCAGAAACACGATACAAGGTACGAGTAGGGCTAGGGAAGTCCAGTAGAACATGCGACTGTCTTGTCATAGAGACCAGCACATGGAACATCAAGGTACACCAAATACATGAGATCTGCAATTGGCGGAATCTCAGACAAACAAAACACCCAACGCCCAGCCGACGAGACAAGGATCTTTTTCTGTCTGCCCAGTTACACACACTCGTTTGTCGAGTTTGACCGGCATACGGCAAATGCGCAACTGGGTTCCTGCCGTTACATCGTTCCGAGCAATGCTCCGTGTGCAACTTCTGACCAAGACAATCCGTGCATGCATCTGCAACGATCTAACTTGTACGGCTGGCACAAACGTGACCGTAGCAATAAAGTAAGACAACGACCGTTGAGAACAATCACATCAGGTGCGGTACATGCATAGTTCTAAGATTAAAGTCACAGTTCATCTCCAACGCATGGGGATTGGCTTGAATCAGGTGCTGTATTGGTTCAGTCGACTGCGTGAGCCGAGCTGGAAGTGAGCAACCGCACTCACGGCCCTGTTGCGAGCTGTGCATTGCAAGTGGGGATTAGGATTCTAGATCTGCTGCCGTATACTGCACAATGCTGCAGGAAGTACCCACTAGGCAGGGTTGGCTCGGTGAAGATATCGGACGCTCTTTTCCAATTTTCGGAAACCCTAAACCCTAAACCGTTTATAGAACCCTTAGAGATCCCTATAAGGAGCCCTTATAGATCCCTTTTAAGGTAACCCCCAACTTTCGAGAGCTACTCAGTCGACAGGCTGCCCAGATCTTCTCACCTTAGCACAGGTAGCGCAAGTGACACTAGGGTTTAGGGTTTAGGGTTTAGGGTATGCCCATCTAGGCAGACTGCCGAGCTGCTGCAAGATTGCAGGGACTCTAGTAGAGTATAGTCTACCCTAACCCCCCCATACCTACCTTCTTAGGGCTCCTTATTATGATGTCCTTATACAAGTCCGTAAAAAGGTAGGATATTCAGGGTTAAGGTATAATACGTCGAAAACGGTACACCGTAGTGTTAGTGGCCGCCTCTTGTCCGGGCTCTGCAGAGGGTTGAGGGTAAGGGTTTAGGACCCTAAGCAGTAGGTTCTCCTAGACGCCCCAACTACCCTTTATTGCAGTCCCTAATTACCTTTGGATGAGAGATATTAGAGCCTGATAAAGGATACTTGGGCGTCCTGGCGGCAGCGGACCCTAAGAAACATGTCATGTTATTCTAAACTAGACTCATATACAATCTGCTACCATAATAGAACTCAAACCACAAGACCAAAAACCCTGAACTCTGTCATGCACTTGAACACACTGTTCGCTCAACACTGCGCTCTACTGCTACAGTCCGCTACTGGTATAGAGGTTTTGGGAGTTCCTCAAACCATTAATACAGGGGCCATAATAACTAGAACAGGGTTATAAATTATAAAGGGATCCTTCTAAAGAAAAGGGTCTATAAGGGATCCCTAATAGATCGAGTTCTCTAATACAGGGGCCTTACTGATTAGAAGAGGGTTTGGGGGCCCATAATGCTATACTTGTAATCGGGAACCCCTAACTATAATAGTATAGGTAATCATGTAGGCCCCTGTACTAAACCCCATAATACCCCTTTAGTAATCCTTATAGACCCCTTTTAAAGGAACACTTAAAGACTTATTTCAGCGCCTACATTTAGGCCCCTGTGTTAGTGTATAGGGTTCCAGAGCCCGCGATTTGAAGCTCACTCTGCAAGTGCGAAGATACTGATGTGGGTGGTTGTCAACATCAGGGTCCCTTTGAGGGTCCTTATTTTCATACGGCACCTGATATTTAGGGTGCCCAAAAGGAGTTATAATTTTGACAACTACCTATGTGTAAGTTGACTGAGCTTTGCGGATTGCCCTAGGGCTCCAGTTACCTCTATAGTCGGTTATTGGGGTATATAGTCTATGGTTAGTCAACTACTATTTGGGCAACTGGAACTCTGTAGGGTTCCATAGCGTGCTGTACCAGCAATGCACACGCACGGCAATTTGAGCACCCTGCCCGGTGCCGCAGCTGGGACGTCAGTAAAAGTGCCTGTCGTAGCGGCGGCATGGTCCCCCTCTAGCATGGTATACACCACTATAGTGCAAGTCTACATGGTGAAAACTACAATATGGAAACTAACATTTTCAAACCTATTTGTGACTACGAACAAAGACTACTGGAACATGCGCGAATGGTGTATATGGGCCAGCCCCAGCGGCCCGCCCCCCCTCCCCACCCTCACCCCCCATGGTCATGGCTTATACGTTCACATATGCTACCACCATCCCCCGCCCGTTGTGGTGGTTTGGGTTTGGGGGGCTTGGTTACAAGTCAGCCTTGACCCTCAGAGCCAGAAACCACTGCGGGCTCCGTTTAAGGGTTCCTTTAACGGCTCCGTTTAAGGGTTCCTATTAGAGTTCCTACTAGGGTCCGTTGGGGACGGGCTGGTTTAGAGGTTTAGAGTTGGTTGTTCAGGGTTTAGGGCCTGGCTCGCGCTGGAAACCTTCAGCCCGGCAGCCCGCCGACCACCGGTGGCAGCCTGTTTCAGGTTTGGGCGGCGTGCGGGGGGACAGGGTCAGAGTGCTAACGAGGGTTCGGCTGTAGGCCCTTGGAGTTGTGGAGGTTTTGGCTTATGCTGCAGTTTTGGTTCTGGCTTTGAGGCATGACATGGGCCTTGAGGCATGGAGCTTCCTGTTCTGTTCGGCCTGGATGGGCAAGTTTAACCACGGGCCCCCAACTCAAAGAGGACCCTCCAAAGATGCTCTGACTGATATGAGACGCCATCGCTAAGCGGGCCCTGCATTCGCGGGTTCAGCACATCTGCTTGTTGGGATGGGCGGAGTGCTACATAGCGCACACACGGCTCAAGCCGTGATCTTTCCTTCTATTGCAGCCGTACACAACCCGAACCCCGAAAACCCTGCCCAAAAAAACAAAACAACAACACTCTCAAACTCGAAAGCCCCAACGCACCAAAAGCCCCACGTACACCAAGCCCTATAAACCCCTGTAAACCCCAAAACAGCAAAGCTCTTAGAACCACAAGGCTTTAGGACTTAGGGTTTAAGGTTTTTGCGGGGCTGTTCCGTCCCTGCGACTTTGGGGTTGAGGGTTTGGGGCTTTTCGGGGTACTCGGGGCTCAAGCCAGAGCTTTACACAGAGCTCTGGCTCCGCTCAGGCCTTGACCGTCCCACATACGCACTCATGCTCGGATAAAGACTACAAGAAGGGACGGCACTGCCTTGTCCGCCAAACCCAGCTCCGGAACTCAGAACCCAAAGCCACAAGAAACCCGAAGCCTCACGCATCCTACCAAAACCCGTCCAGAAACAGCTGACTTCACTTCAATGCAAAGAAAAACACACAAGGTCCAACAGTAAACGAACACCGTCGAAGCTGCGAAACCGTGAGTGCCGGAGCTCCCTCCTGATTCGCCAAAGCACCGAAGAATATCACCGCAGAAGCGCCAGAAGCTCAGAGCCTAAAGCAGGCGGTAAGGGACGCTTTTTCTGGCTTAACCACACGATGGGCATGTAGAGTACGACATAGTAGAGTCTAGCAGGATACAGTACTTGTTACAGTATAATACACTACACTTATGTACTGCTCTAGGCCAGATGACACGATCCTTTACTACCTAAAGCCTCAAAGGTTACTAACATAATCGCCCAACACCTATAAAAGGCTATTTACAGAGGCTAAGCGAATCTTCCCGCGGGATCGAGTCCAGATGTCAAGGGCTTCGCGAAGGTATCCTGGTTGAGGATCTCAAGTTACCGGAGTACCCTGAACCCTAATTTTCAGTGTTTCAGTGCACTGGAGCATGACACAGATCTTCCTCTGGTCCTAAGCCGCGCAGAGCAGAGTTTGCAGGCGGGTGTGCCGACCCTAAACCCGCTAAACCCCCTGAGACCCCGAGCAAACCCGCGCAAACCCCCTTAAGGATCCCTCCCAGCCGCACGAGGCCAACTAAGCACAAACCCCCCACTAAAGGGCTTAAGGTTCCTTTAAGGGGCCCTGCAAAGCGACCTCTGGCCCCAGCGTAGGCGATGTGTAAGTGGAAGCAAACTTGACGCTGACATGGAGCTCTGAGGGCTGAGATGGCACATGGTGGCAATGGTGATGCTCATGATGATGATAACTTGCTGCTGATGATGATGATGATCATCATCATCATGATGCTCATGCTGAGCACCATGAGGTTCATGTTGATCATGCTGAATCATGCTGCCCAAAATGAGTATGATGACTAGCAGGACTAGCATGCTTGAAACTGTTCCAACAATCCTTCACCTCGTCTGCCCACATACTTAGGCCTTGCTGAGTGCTGCATGAAGCTTGCTTGAAAACGAAGGCTTGGCACTCTTTGCACGAGGGGACTGGGTGATGGGAGGAAGAACTCGAACTGGCCAGCCGTGCAGCTTTTTCCTGAGCCCACGGCTACGAGAATACAAACGGTCGAAACATCAAGCTTGTCCGGTCCAACCGACCTAAACAGAAACAAAAGATGTCCAAGGAATTCAGCTTCTCCAGCGGGATGTCCTTCACATAGACTGCTCACACCGCGAACTAAACCACGAGCAGCTCAGGCACCCCCCAGGATGCGAACTCCTTCGCCCACAGCTGAATCTTCTTGAAATCCTCCTCGTCAAAACCGGCATAGGCTCGCTTCAGCTTCTTCCGGAGTTGCTTCTGATCCAAGGAGCCGAAGAAGCGATGGTAGAGGCGGAAGTCTTCCGACTTCACCCGGCGGTCGACGTCTTCTGGGTCAAAGAGAGCCTGGAGCTCCACCTCAAGCTGCCCCAGAATCTTCGAATGCTGCCCAGCGAGATTCTGTGTCTCACTCGGGTCTTCATCGACGTTGAAGAGCAGCGGCACGTACGTCTGTGGCGAAAACGTGGACAGGGTGTGGCCGAAGCGAATATACTTCCATGGACCCTTGCGAAGCATGAAGGAACCCGTGTTGCCCATATTGGAGTGGTACTGCGACACGACAGCTCGGTCTTCGTCAGGCATCACAACCAACTGTGGGGGCGCCAAAGAAGGTGCACCTGCAAGCCGCAGCAGACTCTTGCCTGCAAGTGCCGCATGCCTTTCCCAGTCTGTCTCTTGCCCCATATCCAGCAAAGTGGGGAGAACATCCAGCAAGGAGGTCAGCTGGGTCACGCGTCGCCCCTTGGCCACACCCGGCCCAGCAATCGCAAACGGTACCCGAGATGATCCCTCATACATCGAGTTTTTCCAAACTTGACGGTGCTCCATGTTCATCTCACCATGATCGGAGACGTAGACTACGAAGGTGTTGTCAAGACCGTAGCCCTTATTGGTCAAGGCCTCCCAGACCCGATTCAGTAAATAATCCGCCTCAGCACACATTGCATAATAGGTCTTCCGAACCTTTAGGATCTCCTCGGACGTGTAGTTCGTCTCTTCCACGTGCTTGGAGATAGACATGTAGCTGTCATAGGGGTGCCACTCTTGTGGGAATCCTGGTAGCCACTGCGGAAGTAGAATCTTGTCTTCCTTCACTTTGGCGAGCCAAGTAGCATTTGTCTGAAATGGAGGATGGGGAATGTTCAATGAGCAGTAGAGGAAGAAGGGCTCTGCGTTCTGCTCAGCGGGCGGCAAGCCCTGAATCCATTCCTGGCAGCGATCAACGGTTCTCCAATCCTCCGGGTGCACGTGGTCCTGCGTGTCGGAAGTCAGGGCAAGAGGTGCTTCCTTGGTCGGCCGGCGGATGTCAGCCGAGCGGGTGACGATTCCAAGGGTCACGCCCTGGTGCCAGCCACTGGCTGAGACCGTTTCTCTGACTTTCGGATCATTCATCAACCCACCTCCGATGTCCACCTTCCCATAGAGCTTCACCCCGTAGCCTGTCAACACGATCGAATTCCAAGAGCAGAGGCATCTTACCCTTACCCTCAAGCTCAGGCAGAGAAACAACAACACACAAACCTACCAAGCCGAGGCTGTGGCTCTGCTGGAGCCTCCTGAGAGAAACATCGGCGGTGAGCGGAGTGCGCCCTACAAGTAGGAAGAACCCCGTGTTGCAGTACACTGCACCTTCGAATGGACTTAGAAGGAAGAGGAGCTCTAGTACGCAACACTATACGCGCTTCACTGTTGTACCTCAAAAACCATCTCCGAGAGTCTGCGCCTAGTCTCTCCAAGCCCGAGAAGATGGTCTCGGAGTAGTTCTGCATCTTCGCCCAGGCAGCGCACTGATCGGTGCCGAAGAAGTAGATGCAGGTCTTATCCAGCGTCCCGTCTTCCGAGGCAGCCAGGCCCTTCTCGTTGGACCAGGCTTCTATCTGGTCCGTGCGCCGCCCGGTGCACATGCTGCTGCGCGACGGGACGCACTGCGGGCTGTTCGCGTAGCTGCGCACGAAGTTCGTGCCCTGTTTGGCGAAGAAGTCCCGGAGGAAGGGCAACTCCACGGCCTGGGCTTCGGGAGCCCCGGGGTCCACCACACGGCCATCCATGCTGTCCGTCATGAGGAAGAGGATGTTGGGACGCTTCGCGAGGACCGGCAGAGCCCAGAGCAAAGCGAGCAAAGCCTGAGCCATGGCGAGTTCCGCTCCAAAAAACGCACCCTTTCTGTAACGGAGGAGCAGGGGCCGGCTCTTGAGACCCAACACGGTCGCCGGAGCCAGAGGGCTTCAGCAAGAAGAAGCACAAGGCTATTTTACGCGTCTAGGGCATCCTGCCTAGGGCAGAAGATGGCGGGCGATCAGGGATGGTGAGTCCTACTGAAAATGGCGGTGTTCCTTGGAGATGTTGGCAATGCATTACACACATTTCACATGTACCCAAGCAGACATGCCGAAACTTCAGGCAGAAAGGCGCGGAGAAAAGAGTCGAGGATGCGGCGGTGCACAGAAGATGATCACGCTCTCTGTTGCAGTACCGAGACCTTGGAACGTACTGCCTTTTGTTGTACTTTCTTGTATATAGGAGCATAACCATAAGAGGTGCTACATTGTGGGGTCTCTCTACGAGTCCTCAAGACACCGATCCGCTTTGAACATGCTCTCGGCCTGCGTCCGAAAGTTGCCCACGTGGTGGCACGTCAGCACCTGGGCACAGAATGCCAAAATTCAAGTTGTCTGAGGCGGAGGACTGCAGGATTTATAACTCACATGATTCATTTGGGTCAAATAAACGGTCCCGTCGTCTATACCGTGTCCGTTGATTTCAGGCAACGTGGAACCTCAACTCAAGATTGAAACTCAACAGATTCCGTGCGGACGCCGTGCCTACATACGAGCAAAAACCAGCGTCTCCGGCGTTGATAATCGGTTTAGGGTTTAGAGGGTTTAGGGTTTAGGAGTTTAGGGTTTAGGGAGTGTGGCTTCCAAGTTGGCCTCCGGCAGCCCATGCATCGAGGCTGAATGCCACAGAACGAAGCTCCACATAGCTACCGTGCAAGAAGTGCACGTACCAGTACTCGCTGTTACGCGAACTGCCGTCGTATGTTTCAAGATTTTGCGAAGACCAAAGTGTTCGAACACCCGAGTTTCGTGGACACATCGCACAACGAAGATCCTTGACAGTCTAATCATTCTAAATCATGACGGATGCAATGTGCATGCACTGCCACAGAGTGTTTCCGCTGGATACTCTCTCTGGGACCGTGCGGAGGTTTCCGCTCGAAAATACAAAAGATCTTGCCGCACCCGTCGATATACAGCAGGCTTGCTGTTCACATGGTTCTGTTAGGATGTTGCTTCCGCAGTGCCCGCGAGCCTCATATAATGCAGCTTCCTGTTTACTGACGATGCACCGCCTCGTCTACAGGATGCTGTTGGCGATGGCTTGCGCGAGGCGAACCGAGACTTGCCAAGGCGTGCACGTGCTGTCTTTGCAACGCGCAAAGACAGGCCGACTACAAAAGACACAAAACAACAAGAAGCGTTGGCACTGGTGTCATGCCAACCTACGCCGCTACTTTGACAACATGGTTGGCAGCACAAGTTCGAAGATGCTCCTCTTGTCGCAAGGCAGAAGATGCTCGTCTTGGCAAACGCATTTCGCAGAATGACCCAGCAGCCTGTGACAGCTTGCCAACTGTGTGAAATTTGCTCTGTTTGATGTGTACCTTCTAGTCGCGACGACCAAACCCAACATCAGAAAGACGTTGCAGAGAACGAGTTTTGTGGCATCTACACGCCATGCGGTTTTCAGCTCTTTGCCGATCGCGTTCTGCTACGGCCCGTCGTTCACCCGTGCGGGAGACAGTAAACAACCGCACCTCCAGGTTTGGCAGGTGATGCCCTGGGTGATGCAAGACCTCTGGCAGACGGCAGGGCCCGAAGGCGTCATGTTCCTACATGACACGTGCCCCATCCCGAGAAAGTACTGCAAGCTCCAATTCGTTGTTGCGTGGTCCACCGCAACTGCTCTTCAACGCGACACAAATCCGATTGCTGAGATCTGCTGAGGATCGCCTTCCCGGCTCGTCGTGCGCGGTCGGGGAAGAACGCCGGCGTTCGAAGGCGGCGCAAAAGCCCAGCGCCTCGGCTTGATTGGAAGTGTAGACCGTAGACCCTTCAGAAGCTTCCGACAGCTTCAGGCATCCGAGGACACTCGAGACCCTGAACGCACAGAAACCTCCACCCTGTCCGCCTCAAGCTGCCTCCACTGAGGCAGCTCAAGCTGCAGTTCCCCCAAGAGAAGCCGAAGGGAGCCCTGACTTCAAGACCCCCTCAAAACACCTCAGAGCATCTCAGAGCCCTGGAAGTCTTGGGCCCCGGCCGTTTGTGTCAGAGCTTCGGGATCTCGCGCTTCAAGCTTTCGGAGATCGCATGCAACCTCAAACCACCCAGTGCACTGCAAAGCTCTGCCGGTCAAAACCCGCCCTCCTCGACGCAAAAAGGCTTGGAAAAGCTGAGGCCTTCGACTTGAAAGCAAGAATAAAGTTTCCGATGACCCCAGGAGCATACACTTCCGTTCACAATGAGCCCAGGAGCATCTCATGTCCCGATGCTGGCGCGAAGAGCCCTCGGTGCTGAACCGTCATTCAGAAACCACGCCCTGCATACACTTCCGTTCACAATGAGCCCAGGAGCATCTCATGTCCCGATGCTGGCGCGAAGAGCCTTCGGTGCTGGACCGTCATTCAAAACAGCGGCCGTCACTGACAGGAGTGCTTTCATCATCTTCAGACATCCTCAGAGGGGGGGCGGACTTCGACAGGTTGCGAGTCAGAAGGATGAAAATCAATGCCGTGGGAGCCAAGAGAACTCATATCAGCCAAAAGAGCTCTACGCCCTAAATCAAAATTCTGAACCGCAACTCCTGGCACGTCTCCAACACCTGTGCTTGTGGATCCAGGTCGCCCCCCACGGCCGTGTGCGCGCCAGCAACCGGGGGAGCTTCTGGGGCCGCCTCGCGTTGGAAGCGGAGTTGGATTGGCGCAGGCTTGAGGGTCGCGGAATTGGGTTACGGGCTTTAGGACGCTTCAGGGTGTAGTTGGGTTTTTGATACAGCCCCCCTGCTTCTTCTAGCGGCTCGCAGGGAGATTTCATCTCATCTAGCTGGTACAGCTCAGTGGGGGTTGCGCAGTAGAACCCAAAAGCCTGCTACTCTAGTTGGCTTTGGTGGCTTTCAGCTTGAAAGGAACTTACAGTTTCAGAATTTCCGGGTACGAATTGCAAAAGGATCCCGAAGGAGGCGAAGATCGAGGACCTAGGACTGTGGGATGCCCAGGCCTCGGCTCTTGCAAGGTCTTCAAGGAGTCTCTATATGTTATCTACATGTGACGAGCACTGACGCAACACAAGGCGGTGGTGGCAATTACGCAAACATGCTTTAACTATACAGCATGTTACTTGGTTCAGAATCTCCGTACTCCAAAGCTCGGGCATAACCAGGAGATTGGCAGACCGTGGAGCAAGCTGGAAGCTGCAAAAAGCCACATCATAAACCCGCAAAGGTCGCACGGACTGTAGAAGGAGCTTCCTGTCACAAAGCCCCGCCGGGCTGGGCAGCCTGTTGTCCGCAGGCCCATCCTGTAAAGAAGCGACATGGGCGACCCATGAAGACGAAGATAAAATGCAAACACCTTCTCGGATTGATGAAGCATACAGGCTTCCGCCGCGGTTCTATTGCTGCAACCGGTCAACCTCCCAGCCGACACCACTGCGAAGTTCAGGTTGAGCAGATGTCTGTCGAAGCTCACGCTGACAGCAACACAGCTCTTTTCCAAACCTGTCGAACTTGTGCGAACATTTATGCTCATGTCAGCCACGAAGGTGCACTCAACAGCTCGCATTTTCCATGCACGAAGGTGTCTGTGACCGGCATGCAGATCTTGTTGGCCCAAGTAATTCTCATCCTGCTTGCGTTGAGATGTCGGCAGCTTTATTTGGGTCTTGCCAGGTCACTTAACAAGGAGCTTCGATGACAAAAGGAGCAGCCAGACCTCTCACCGCTACGTTTCGAGTGAGTGCATGAGACCCTTCGAGAGATCTTGCATTTCGCCATTTCGCCGGGTGCTAGTTCAGACGGAGGAGAGCTTGCTGCGTCACTGCGTCGTCTTGAAGCAGATATGCAAGAGCTATGGAATCTGATGCTACGGTCGTGGCAACTACAATGCAGATGGAGCTCTTTGGCCCACGGGATTTTGCCGTGAGACGTCGCCACCCCAGCCTCTGAGTCGTATACAGATAACTTGCGAGTAGCCTCGGTGAGTTAAGACATCAAACCGGACCTCACACGGCTACGGAAGGGGGGAGGCGACTCTGAGGCTGAGGCGACTCTCAGGTTCCGGGAGACTACCAAAGTCAAACACAGCCGCATCCGCAACTCCGCTCTCTTGCTGCTTCATTTCTAAGCAGATAAGCAAGGACGTGTGAAGGCTGTGGGATCTTATCGGACGCGACCAGACGTCACCGATACTGGACCTCGTTGGCCCGCGCATGCACACGAGAGTTGCCGTGAGATGTCGGCAGCCTCAGCTTCCCCTTGAGTCTTAGAGAGATAACTTGCATGTAGCCTCGTTGACTTTAAGCAAGACTTCATCCAACTTCTCACGACGATGTCCGGAATTGAGCGTGTGAGACTCCAGGCTTGCGAAGAAGCAAACCTCTTCCTTCGCCGAGTGCTCGCGGGCTTCGCGGCTTCCAGGTTTCGAGAAACCTCAACAGCAGCTCCCGGAGTCGGTCACCAGCTCTTGGAGAACCGGAGATGGCGACTCCTCTTGCTACGCGCTGCCTCCTTTTTGAAGCGGTTGAGGGTTTAGGGTTTGGGTTATGTGCACTGTTTGCAACAGCTATGCTACGGGATCCGATCTTGCGTAGGCAATGGTGACCCGGGACGCGGCATTGCGCGTCTCACATGATGATGGACAGTGAAACATGGATGATGGATTCACAGATGGAGCCTGCATCGTGTGCGCGGGATTCCATTTAGCTTCGATTTAAGAGCTTGAGAAAACGAGTCCTATGGAGATCTCCAGAATTTGTCGAGAAACACAAAGGACAAAAGATTTGGGGGGCTTCTGTCCTGGGTTGAAGCTCTCACTGACGGTCACAAGCTCGCAGACCCCGGCTACAAGTAGGAATTAGGCTCCTGTTCTACGCACTCGTGCTGGTTCCTGGGATTCCTTGCCGTCCAACTTCCACGTCCCACGATGCTTCCCAGAGCTCGCCCCCAAACTTTTCCAACGGAAGCTCGACAAAGACGCCGACACGTCTCCGTAGAGATGTGCCGGAAGTCTCCTCCCTTGAACCTCCGCCTCTGACAACGATCCCCAGCTCACCAAAACTGTGGCCTTTCACCGAAGACGGCAAGACGGCGGCTCAGGGCCTTGCCTTGCCAGGACTCAAACTTCGGAAGCTGTGAGGGGGAGCGAGGCGGAGCTCAAAGGGGGTGGGGGGGTCGCAGGAGCTTGGCTTCAGCTCATCAAACCCTCCAGGCCTGCAGCTGCCAGAGCTTCAGGGTCGAGTCATAGCTGAGGCTGCACAGCACGTGCTCTCCCCGCACCTTCGCCATTGTCAGGGCTCGGATCGCGCCGTGGCGGTGGGCTTTCTGGATATCGTGCACCGGCTCGCCGCTCTGCACCGACCAGACACGGAGTCTGCCATTGCCATCGGCAGCTGCGAGGTGCTTGGGCGCCAGGAGGCACAGCGAGGAGACGAATCCCGTGAGCCCTTCGAGGACCCGCACCATCGTCCAGGTGCTGAGGCTCCACAACCGCACCGTCTCGCCGATGATGCCGCCACTCGCCAAGAGCTCGGGCGAGGCCTGGCAGAGGCAGTGGACTTCGTCTGTGTGTCCGCGCAGCGCGTGCAGCTCCTCGCCCGTGTCTGGGCTCCACACTCGGAGGGTCCTGTCATCGCTCCCGCTCACGAGGCTGCCGGTGGTCGTGAGGCAGAGGCAGCGCACCCAGTCTCTGTGGCCCTGGAGCACTCGGCACTCTTCGGGCTTTGCGAGGCTCCACAAGCGGACGGTCCTGTCACCGCTTGCGCTCGCGAGCTGAGTGTCATTGAGCCGCGCCAGGCCCTGCACCGAGTTCGTATGTCCGCTCAGCACTTGCAGCGCTTCCTTGCTGTGCAGGTTCCAGGTGCGCACCGTGTGGTCGTCGGACCCACTGGCCAGGACATCTTCAGACATCAGGCACAGGCAGCGCACAGCCTTCTTGTGCCCAAGAAGCATTGAGGTACACTCATCGCTCGCACCGAGGTCGTGGAGCTGGATATTGCCGTCCGCGCAGCCCACCGCCAGCCTGCTCGCTCCCACAGTGCAGACGCAGCACACCTCCGCGTCATGCGTGACACAGTGCACTTCGGTGGGATCCTTCGAGAAGCCGCGCACGCCCCACGCCTGCAACAAAACAACAGTGCGCATGCTCTGGCTTGGCTTTCGCAACCGGGGACTGGGGCTCTTACAGACTACGTTGTACAGTACTTTGCAGTAGGAACGGCCGCTCAGTGCGCCACAAGGTCTTGTGCGCAGCGTTCTCGCCGGGCTGCTTCGACCCCCGCGCTGTGAACCTCCGTCGAGGTCCGCTTCCGCTGTTGGGGAAATCCGGCTCTCAAGCCTTGGATGCGTCGATGCGACGCATGCCTCGACTACCCAGCTCTTGTCGCATGTGCAAAGAATTGCAAAGATATGTTGCGGGATTGCTATAAAGTGTTAGCTTTTGGCTTATGTTTCAATCCGAGTTGGACTCCTTCCCAGGAGCCTACTGATGAGCTTCGTTGAAACTGTTTGCGCACGTGGGCCGAAATCAAAGCCACCTTACCCACAAAGGGTCTGGCTACTGGTTTGGGCGGCCTCAAAAGCAGAAGCTTCAGCCGATGTCGCGCTGTTTAAACTTTTCTGGGTCTCACCCACAGTCTTCTTTTCTTCACTCGATACAACCTCCGGAGGTGCGAACCTGATTCTCTACGTTGGGCTTGAGACGACAAATCAACTTGAAAAGAGCATCTGTTCAACCAACACGCTGACCGGCAAAACGAAACCCCTCGCCCAGGGCCTGCAGCTGCCAGAGCTTCAGGGTCGAGTCATCGCTGCCGCTGCACAGAATCCGCTCGCCACGCACCTTCGCCATCACTAGTGCTCGGATCTCTTTGCCGTGGGCTTTCTGGATATCGTGCACCGGCTCGCCGCTCTGCACCGACCAGACACGGAGTCTGCCATTGCCATCGGCAGCTGCCAGGTGCTTGGGCGCCAGGAGGCACAGCGAGGAGACGAATCCCGTGAGCCCTTCGAGGACCCGCACCATCGTCCAGGTGCTGAGGCTCCACAACCGCACCGTTGTGTCATCGCTGCCACTTGCCAGGAGCTCGGGTGAAGCCTGGCAGAGGCAGCGGACCCAACTTGTGTGGCCGCGCAGCTCGTGCTGCTCCTCGCCGGTGTCAGGGTTCCAGACTAGGAGGGTACCGCTCCCGCTCACGAGGCTGCCGGTGGTCGTGAGGCAGAGGCAGAGCACCAGTTGGCTGTGGCCCCGGAGAACTCGGCACTCTTCGGGCTTTGCGAGGCTCCACAAGCGGACGGTCCTGTCACCGCTTGCGCTCGCGAGCTGAGTGTCATTGAGCCGCGCCAGGCCCCACACAGAGTCCGTGTGTCCGCTGAGGACTTGCAGCGCTTCCTTGCTGTGCAGATTCCAGGTGCGCACCGTGCTGTCCGCGGACCCACTGGCGAGGACCTCCACCGACATCAGGCACAGGCAGCGCACAGCCCCCTTGTGCCCCACCAGTTTGAAGGGAGGCTCATCGCTCGCACCGAGGTCATGGAGCTGGATAGTGCCGTCCTCGCAGCCCACCGCCAGCCCGCTCGCTCCCGTATGGCAGATGCAGCGCACCCACGAGTCATGGGGGACGCTGCGCAGCTCCGCCATCTGGGAGAAGTCCACGTCCCGAGTGCCACATCGTGCCAAGGCCTCGGAAGCCGCAATTGCAAACTGAGCATTCGGACTCTGTTCCCAGTGCATCGGCAAAGTTTGACCTGAATCCCAATAAGCCTTCTTCCCCCCTCCGCTGCGTCGCGTGGCTTGGAAGGCCAACGCCACGTCGTTTTGGAGCTGGGCATCGACCAGGTCCAGCGCCCAAGGTGCCTGCCGAACGACCTGCCATAAAGAAGCATTTCAAGTGCTCGACGCCTCCAGACCCCGGCACCGCTGCACAGCTTCGAGCCGACATCTCACAAGGCTAAAGCCCGCAGCCCAGCCGGTGGACCTCCAGAGCCAGCTCCCGGTCGCTGCGCAGGCCGCCAGCGAACTCCAGCACCTCGGCGGGCTTCCCAAAAGTGTGCGAAGGGCCGGGGCCGGCAACTCGGGACCAATGTGTGGAAAGACTCCATGTCACGAGCCACAAAGCCTAGGCACGGCCTCGCAGTTGCCCAACATACCTCAAGCTGTAGTGTAGCCTCAAAGTGACTCCGAAAGCCTGCGACACCCTCAGCAAAGAGCCCTCCGCTCAAGACGCTTCAACCTCAAGCTGCTCCGGCGACATCACCCTGTAACGATGTTCCCAAGCACGGCCGGTTGGAGCCGCATCGCGTCCGCGACGAAGTCACGGTCCTCGCGAGCTTAGTGGTCTCAGGTGCCAGAAACCTCCCGCGATGCGGCCACAACGTAGGATCTGGTTTTGCAAGAGTTCGAGTGGGGTGCTCTCGAGCTTCGGTGCAGATTCTTAGGTTTCAAGGAGACAGGCTCGGTTTTCAGATCGCTTCCCACACTGCGTCCTCCCGAAAGCCTCCAGCGAACTCGAGGGCTCGGGGATGCCGCTGCACTGCATCCAGCAGGAAGAATCGGTCCGAGCGCAGGGCCTTTACAGAGAACTTCTGACAGCCCGCCAAAACTGCGATGCACTAGAAACACACCACAGCACTTTCGTCCGCCTCTGGCGCATCGGCCAAGCAGGCGGCGTCGTGGCTGATGCAGGCCAGGACCACGTCGCGGTCGTTCCGAAGATCCGCCGGGGCCTGGCTCTAACCAGCAGACAATATGGAAGTTTGACGGACTCTCTCACAACTGAGGGATCACTGCCCCCCCTCCGGCCTTCTGCAGGGCTCCTCTCACGGCATCGAAAGGAGGTAACGGAAGTGTGGGAGCCAGGAAGTGGGGGTCTTCCCGGAGTTTGTCTCCTAGGTCCTTGGGCCCCAAGCCCTTGAGCACCACCTGCCGGAGGAATTCCTCCGCGGTCTCGATGCCTGCTTGCTTGCACAAGGCCTTGACCTGGCCAGGAGTGGCCCCCAGCTCCAACATCTCCCCCACAGACACCAGGGACCAGTCCAGCAACTGCACCCGCTGCTCCTTCAGGGGCGCCAGCAGCGACCAGACTGAAGGCTCCTCACTCTGCATTTCATCTGCATCGAGCACTTCGCTGAGCGGCTTCCCATCGTGCCGGAGCCCGGCGGCCGCTAGCATCTTCAGCGCCTTGCTACTCTTCGAGTGGAGTGCACTGTGGAGCAACGTGAAGGTGCAAGGGGTTTCTCCAGCTGGCATTTCCGTGGTGAGGCCAAGGTCGGCATCCATGTCGACCAGAGCCCTCAGGATCTCGAAGTGCACTGGCTGGAGGCCTTGCGGTCGCAGCAGCACCGCATGCAGCGGGGGGTGACCGTCTTTCGCACTGCTGGGGGTGTTCGGGTCGGCCCACTCTGCCAGCAGCTGCTGGACCTTGGCAAGATTGCCATCGGCACCTCGGCACAGCAGGAACAGGCTTAAAGAGGGCAACTGCGCAGACTCGAGCACATCAGATCTCACAACCCTCTCTCGAAAGTCGAACGGTTCGGACGAGTTGACGAGCCCAAAATCAAAGAGGAAGGCTTTGCTGCTGCAAAAAAAGCATTTGGCCGGGCGGGCTTCGGCCCTGGAGCAAATCAAAGCGATGTCAGGAGGGCGGCCACTTCCAAAACGGAGCCGTTTGCGCAGTTTGCGCTGCTCCTCTGTCGCGTACATCGCTTCTTTCTCTAACACCGGCTTTTCTTGCGGCTACAACGCCACGGCGACTATCGGAGGGGGCTTCAAAGACCTGCCTCGAGGAATGTCTGTGAGCGAGGAGGCAACACTCAAGTCCGGCACAGCACGTTCGTCAAAAGGTCTAAAGTGTCTTCTTTCGATGCGCCGTGTAGTGATGACATGCTCGCGCCGCCTATTCAACGAGGTGCATGCAGGAAGGAGACAAGGCAGCCAGCGCGAGAGAGGGAGACCGAGACAGAGAGCCAGAGAGGCCGCACACGAGCACTCTCCGTTGAGGCCGGCACAGGATGCAATCAGTTCCTGGCTTTGGACCAGCCGGCGCTTCACGGCATCATCCAGGTCATCCTTCGCCTCGCGCAGCCTCACACGTCTGAGATTCACAGAGTCAACTTCAGGATTCCGAGGTCGCCCCAAAAGCGGGGTCAAGCTTCGACTCTGCTTTTCGTAGCAATTCAGCTCAGTCGCTGGTCCAGACCACCGTCTGCACACTGGACGGCCACGGAGACGAGGCGCGCGACGCCTCCATCGAGGGTGCTGCCGTGATTACCCTTCTATCCACGACGAATAGCACGTAAGGAGGCGAAGGCAAGCAAATACTAACAACAACAGCAGCAGCAGCAGCGGACTGGCTGGATAAGAAAGGGTCCAAAATCAAAAGCATTGCAACTCACGTACATGGTGCCTTCGTCGCCTCCCGATTGCCGAAGCTTCAAGAGGCCATCCAGGAGGGGCACCTCAGGTGTGGACATCCGTACATGCTGAAGCATCCCTTCTCTCCCTGTGACGATTCTGAGCCCCTGATTCTTGTCCTACCCTCCCTGCCTGACCGTCTCTATCTCGAGCTTGGAGGTCGGCTCGAGCACAGAGAAGGGCCCACACCGCCCGCTCGTGGCCCTGCGCCATGGCTTCGTGCAGCGGCGTCCGCATCATCTTGGGATCCCTGTGGTTCACATCGGCGCGGAAGGCCAAGAAGATGCTCACGAGGTGCGCGTTGCCCGCCTTGGCCGCCTCGCAGGCCGCATCCAAGGTGGAGGCGAGAAGGGAAGCACAACAAAACACAAAATCATACAAAATCACACCACTGGGAAAGTAGAGTGGGCCCCCACCACCTTTAGTGTTTAGAGCAAGAGCAGGGCAGTCCTTGTGAAGGAGGCCCTTCTTGTCGTCATTCAGCATCTCCTGGACTTGGGAGCTTCGGGACCTTTCGCCAGTGTCGGGTGGGTTGGAGGATGGGGCTGTCTGAGCTATGCGGAATGGCGCCGGTCGAAGAAGTCTCAGGCCTTTGAAACTCACGACTCGACTAGGAATAAGAAAGCTGCACGATCCTGCAGTTCCGTGTCGGCGTTGGCGCCCAGGTTCTCCTCGCAGACTCGCAGAAGGCGCGGCTGTTGCACAACGCACGAAATGGGGGAGAGAGGTGCTGCCACAAGAGGGCTTCGAGCTTCGCAGCTGGGTCCGGGAAACCGCCACTTCAAAGCCTCAAGGCCGGCAACGCCCAGTCCTTGCCCCACTGCAGGATGTTGCGGCACCTCTCCACAGCATCCGGCTCCGCAACAGCTGCCATGACCTTCTCTGAGACTGAGATGCGGCAGACTTCTTCTCTCCAACGTTCCATCACAATCTAGCTGGGAGCTGGCAGCAGCGTTCCGGAGAAGGCTTGAACTTGGGCAGCTTGCCCCTGTTTGGGCAGATCTCAACTGCTGGCTTACTTCTTCCGCCCGGAACGCCGCAGGCTCCGGCAGAGTCACCCCCTGCTCGTCCCTTTCCTTCTGAAAGCTACAGTACCCGAAAAGAAGCAGGAAAGGAGCCACCAAAAGCAACCCGTTCCCCCCGATCCTGGCCGAGGCTCCTCGCGGGAGACCTCGAAGGCCCTGTGCCCCGCGTTCTCTTTCACGTGCAGCATCCACTTCGTGTTCAGCCTCGGCACACGGATTTGCTCCAAACGCTCTCGGAGCTGAGAGCTGAATCTCAAAGCCAGCAGTCGACTGCGCACATGAAACAAGGAATGCGCCGAAGATCCAGAACAACGCTTTAGCATGCTTCAGCGATCTCGACACCTGCCCCAATGAAACAAAAGAGCGCTGAGAAATCCCCGCAGGCGAGAAACTGCAGCTCGCAGACCATCCCGTCGATGCGGAGGCTCAGCTGAAGATCCTGGGATCGGGTTTCTTTCGGGCACCGGGCGCGGACGGAAGGATCGTTAAGCAGAGGAGGGGCGAAGGTGAGTAGTTCGCCTATTTCTCGGGCTTCCCCAGTCGCACTGCGGCACTGCAGCTGTGAAGTGGCACAGTGCAAGTCTTCTCCCGTTAACGCCAAGGATCACGATACCCTCCGTCGAGAGGGTTCATATAACGGTCGTTACACTCGATGATGTCGATCTCTTCGTCTTCGTGGATCGCTCGGAGACCTTTGTACCTGGAGAGGCTCCTAATCCCAGCACCTACCTTTACGGCTGCAGGTGTGCATGCTTTCCCTTTTCCAGGGCCCCCACATGTCGTCCAGATTCTTATAAACGATGGTATCCCTCACGATGTCCGTCAATCTGTGCCACGAGACTTCGCCGTTCTTGTCCTGCAGAGCGAGCCAGCATGGTGATCTGGCTGCACGTGTCTGTCATGCCTGCTTCCAGTCTCTCCCTCTGGGCGTCCTTGCCTGCTCTATGCGGAGAGATGCGCCTCTAAATATCTCTACAGTGATCAAGACAGAAATAGAGACCGCAAACACAGCAGACCCCCACACCAGAACTTGCTCTCTTCTTTCGGTGTCCTTGTACTTGAACTGTGCTTTGTCTTGGCACCGCTGCATGCCTTTCAGGGGCGGCTCCACGTTCTCACCGCCCGTGCGTTCTGCCACAGCCCGAACTTTGGCGAAGAAGAGCGGTGCTTTGTCCTCTTGCACTGCAGCATCGGCAACGGAAGCTATCGAGCGCATCCATTCAGCCAGCGGCCTGGCCACCCAAAGGAAACGACGACAAGCATGCCTCCAAAACCTGAATGAAGCTGAGTGTGCGTGTGTGTGTGTGTGTAGTCCTTGCAGAATGCAAAGAGCTCCTCCAGCGTGTTTTTGTATCTCAGTGGACATGTGGAGTTCATGTACAACACATGAAAGCATGCTTGGACGTCGCAGGGAAACATCAAAGACGTTTCCGGGAGTCAGGAAGGAGCTCTCTGCTGACGGAGCTGCGGCTGGTAATTCATCTTCGTGGAAAACGACCGCCGCTTCTGCCAATCTTTGCCCATCATGTCGACGAGATCCTATAGCACACCGCATCACTCGATTAGACAATTGTAGCGCTGGGAGCTGAAGAACTCTATCAATGCAACATCCTTACACGAATGCACTCGAGTCATGTCAGCTGGCGAAGCTGCACGGATTCATGTCAGAGTGACGCTGGCATGCGCTTGACAGCAGGGGTGCATGGCATGGCCTTGCTGGGCTCATATTTCTCCTTCAACTCCTGGCTGAAGGCCTCGAGTCGCGGACGGAAGTTCCGGGCTCTTGGGGAGAGGCCGGATCGAGGTGCAAACATCTGAACAAAAACTGAGCGAAAGCTAGAGCTTGCACCTGGCGACAAGGCAGACACAAAATGCATGTGGACGCAGCTAGCCTTCCCTACACGCACCCTACCACCCATCCGTCCGAACTCCTACCAACACTCACCAGGGCAGCTTGAGCTGCGCGTTTACCGACATTCGGGCTCGGAGAGCGGCCCCAGACGACCAGCTCAATTAAACTGACACGAAGAAAGAGCGTTGCACGTCCAACCATGGCAATCCTCCAGCAAACCCGCGCCCCGTCCTTGTACTCGCGCAGTCGCGTCTCCCCTCCAGATTCTTCCTGAGTCAAGCAATGGGCTCAGAGCATCCATAGACCAGTCTGGCAAATTGAACCAGATTCAAACGTGGATGCCCTCGACTGTCGCATGCGCCTCATGAAAAACTCGACTCTAGCACTGTATAGTGTCAAGGCGCCAACGCCGAGTCATAGTCTTTGGGCATCGTCGCCGGATCAACTTCATCGTCCGCCCTGCAAGCATGGACGCAATTTTGGGAACGAATCAAATCCCTCTGCTTGGTAGGTAACGTTCTTGCCCCGGATCCTAGCTCTGTCTCATGGCTGTGTTGTCTGCTCTTTTGGCAAGTAGCAATGAATCTCCTGCACCAGGCCGGTGTCGGAAACAAATCCGGAAATTCGACACTAGGCTCCGCCTCCGACGCGGAAACCACCCTAAACCCCTGTGACCCAAAGCTCCCCCAGGACCAGTCCCGGCCTTTTCGGCTTCCTTGGCTCCTGGGCTTCTTCCGGCTGCACCTGCTGCTCGAGCCGCGACAAACGGCGCACCAACTGTGCCATCTCTTCGCCTTCCGCGAGCTTCGTTGCCCAGCTGTCCCAAAGAAGTTGCTACACATCTGCAAATACTGATATACTCATATACTATCATATACTGTAGGTACGGGCAGGTACGGACAGCTTCTGTTTCGAGAACTTGCTCTTGCTGATGTTGCAGAAGTACTTTGAGGATCCACACATTCGGTACCCGGATACGCGCCAATACGATAAGTCCGCTTTACACACTACAATAACTGCTCTGATCCTCCAAGTAGGAGTCTTCGAAAGAGCAGTGCGAATCATGATGGCCTCCGTATGGAAGCACCCCTCCTCTCTTCAGCAACACAACCTCCCAAGCCCAAGGATATCCGTCCCGCATTCCCCGGCCTTCGGGCTTTGCCGGTGCGAGGCCGGCGCCAGACTTCAGCCTCTGAAGCTCTGCGTAAAGCGTGGCGATAGTGGCCCCCATCTTGCAGAGCAGCATCGTGGTCTTAGTCGGCGACAAGCAGAGGCCCTCTTTAGAAACCCGATGAGCCAACATCTTGCTAGAACCGAACAGAACAGACTGATGCGCCTGGGGTGTGTGGTGTCTGGCAAATTGCAGCCGGGCTGCGTGGCCGTTGATGGCCAGGAGCCACTCCCGCCTCTCCTCCTCCGTTGGTGCCGCCAGGCAGAGGTGCGTCAACGCCGGCTCCGCCTGCACGAAATTCGACACTTCGATGGCGTAGCCCTCGAACTCCGGCGGGAGCTTCTCGTGCTCGATCTTGGCGGAGCCGGTGGCTCCCAGCATCAGCCGGGCTTGGCGCTCCTTGGTGGGTTCGGCGAAGGTCTCGAGGATGCCGGGGCCGAGGAGAACGAGCACCTTCTCCCAGGTGTCCGTGCGGGGCTGGTACTGCAACAGCTCGCCCTGCTTGAAGGGCGCTTGCATCTGCGGGAGGCCCGCCATTGCGAAAGGCATGTCCATGTCGCAGTCCTGACGAAGCGATCCACTTTCCTACGGCGGACCCTTCCACAGCAGCATCTTCATGCGCATCGCGTGAACTTCAACTCTGACTATGTGCAATTGCTTCCTCATCGGTGCAGTCCGCGAGCCCGGCAGGCTTCTCCTGGCACTTGCAGAAGGAAAGCGAGGACTACAGTATCCCGCGCTCAAAAGAGCAACCTGGGAAGCTTCCGTCGCAACCTCCGAGAACATGACACCAAAGGATTCAGAACCGCAGGCCTTCGTAATCTTGGAAGCCAGGCTGCCCTGTAAGGCAGACATCTCCTGTAGCGAGTGGAAGAGATGTTCGGCGAGACATGTCCCACTACAGAAAGAACTGACGTGTTGGTGTATAGGGCTTTCCGAGTTTAGGGCCGCTTGCCCGCTTTCGTTTCGCCGGAATAACTTGCAAGGCCTTTGGCAGAGCAGACCCTGTTCCAACAGACACTCCCCAAAGCCGTACCCATCCGATGCTGGCTAGCTCAACCTGCACATCCGTCGACAAAAAGCCACCACGGGAGACTACGGGACATGGCCAGAATCGCCCAAGCCCGAAGCCGACCTTGTGCCTCAAACGCCTCGGGCTGTAGACTGCTGGGGAGTTTCAGCCCCGTTTCGGTAAGGTGCCCGTGGTTGGGTCGGAGGCCGGCCCTTAACACTCCCCCCCTTTTGCTGGAGCCCTGAAGAGGCTCCACAGAACCCTCTCATCGGCTCCTGCTTCAGTGCCTCGTTGCGACGGCGGAGGGACATCGGCGCTTCGTGGTTTGGGACCCGCTGGCGGAGCCACTGGACGATGAAGTCGGCGGGGGCCTGGCAATGAAGAGGGAGCCTACAACCGAAGCTCGAAAGCATTCGCTGCAATTCCTTGATCAGATTCTTGCATTTTTGATACTGCAATCACAGTTGGAGGAGTTGAGGTTCGACTGGTACGAAGATTGACAACTCGACACCTTCCTTGAAAGAGCACTCTCTGAAGACGCTCTCCTGAACCTGCCTCCGGCATGGAGTGGAGTGCATCCCTGGCCAGGTCGGCGGTCAAGGGCTGCAGCGTCTCCCCGATGTAGGCGTCCTTGAGGGATGCCATGGCAACGGCTCGAGGGCAGACGCTGGAAGGCAGGGAGGAAGGCAGAGGAAGTCGGCAGGCGAAGCTCTGGCGCGCTCGGGCCAAACAAGTGGGCACAGCAGAACCGCGTGTCACCTGCACACTTCGAAGTCCGCAGTTTCGGGAAGGCAGCACAAGCTCTGGAGCGGGCCCTCGTCTGTGCAAGTCGCTGCGATTTCTCTTTTGGTTGGCCCGGACTCTCTGAGAAGAGTGGACAAAGAGCCGAGAGGTCCGGAGTGGCTCCGAGGAGGCCGGTTTGGGGTTTTGGTCTCAGGTGCTTTTGGCTTGCGGGTTGAAGGGATATGGAGGGCGAGTGCTTGCACTTCAGGGGCTCTGGCTGAAGGGCTTTCAGATGGCTCAAGGGCTGTAAGGGTTGAAGGCTTCAGCGTGGAGGGGTCAACGAGATCCGGGTTCAAGTCTATGGGGCCTTCACGGAGGACAAAAAATGGAATGTTGTGGATGACCCGGAGCAAAAAAATGTAGCCGACAACCACTTGTTACCCTGCGCAACAAGAGGCCCCGGCTTCGGGGGTGTCACCAGCGCAGCAAGGGCTTCCAGGGCTGTGAAGCTTCACTACAAGGGACCTGCATACGGGGCGATGTCGGCATCTCGAAGGCCCCTCTTCTTGGGTGGAGTTCCTCTTCTCCACCCGCCTCCGGAGCTGTCGCCATCGAAAACCTATGAGGATCTCTGCTCCTTTTCGAAGAGCCTGTCCCTCGGCCAAGGCCCGCTGGAGGCTCAGAACCTGAAATTCATACAGCCCTGCACAGCTTTCGAAGAGCAGTGCCGCCGCAGCTGCTTGGCCGCTCTACCCTTTTTCAAGTCTGCGCCACACAACAGCCTAGCGCGGAACAGCACTATTTCGCAACACCTATTATAATGGCCAGCGGCTATACAGGCAGCGACTGCTAGAATCCTAGAGTTACAAGCCTGAAAGCTCGTGAAGAGCTCCAAGTGGCATCGCCAAAGCTACGTGGCTAACTTACGGGAAGGCTCAGCTCGAAGTCAAAGGCTCGCATATTCCTGCCACGCAGAAACTCAGCAAAGCCCCCAAACCTGAAAGAAGGGGGCTTCTTTTTGGCTCTTTGTTGGGGCCTCGTCCTCCTCTTCTCCGCCGCCGAATGGAAAGTGCAGGAGCTCCGCAGTCCTTCACGGCAGAAGGGTGCTAACCCGAGGCAAGGCTTCTCGGCGTTCGCAGGGCAGCCCTGCAGACTCTACGGTTTGTTGCAGGTGTTGCCAGAGCACGATAAAGGCACAACAGACCTGAAAGAAGATGCAGCCTGCATCTCCTCAGCTCCGCCCGTCTCTCATCTCCACCTTGCCGGGGAGAAGCCCTTTGAGAAAGAGCAAGTTTCGAGATTTACAGCTTTGCTGCTTCGGCTTGGGCCTTGGCTTCCCAAACCTAAGGAGGACCGTAAAGTCTTAAAGTATGCCGGGGGTCCTTAATGTTGCTTAAGGTATACTGTATCTTCCTTAGATATTCCTCCATGAAGGGGCACTGGAAGATCTAGGCTTCGGCCTTCTGAGACTTCTTGTGGGATCGTTGTTGGCCCTTCTTCCTCTTCTTCTCCGCCCCGTCGAAGCGGAAGAGGCAGGAGCTCCGCGGTCCTTCACGGCATCAAAGGGAGCTTTGAAGGCCTCTTTTGGGGAGGAGGGGGCCCCTAAGGCAAGACCTCTGGCACACTGCAGGGCCCCAAAGCGTCCTTGTCTTCCCTGACACACCCTCCCGCAACCTTCACTCTTCACTTCGTTTGGGTTCGTGGTCGCTGGTAGCCATAAAACCCAAACCCTTAATTAAACCCGACTGCTCGAGACGAAGAACTCTGAGGATCGCCTTCGCCGGCTCCTCGTGGATGTTGCGGAAGAACACCCGCGCTTTTTGGAAGCGGCGGGAGCAGCTGAGCTGCTACTTGTACCCAGACCTCGGCTAGGACGGAGGCTGCGAGAATCAACGAGGCTTCCGACGCGTCCCTCCCCGGCGGTCTCGGACTCAAGGCGATGCTTCAGCGCAGAAGTCTACATTCAAAAGGGAGGACTGCGACATCCGAGCCCGCCCGAGACGCGCGAATGCAATGCCAGCTTCAAGCTGCCTGGAGAAGCCTTTGAACTGAGGCAAATGACAACCCCAACTTTACACAAGGGAGGCCCGAAGTTCTCAAGCCGCACTTCCCCTCAGAGCCCTCAGTGTCACAGCATCTCCGAGCCCTGGGCCCCAGCTTTTGTGTCAGAGCTTCAAGATTTCGGAGGTTCCCAGGCACAACCTGAAGCCATCAAGGACACAGCAAGTGCTCTACCCGTCAAAGCCCTTCAACGCAGAGAAGGCTGAGAAGGCTGAGAAGGCTGAAGGCCTTCAACTTGAAAGCCAGAAAAGCTCCCGCTGGACACCCTAAACGCAGTGTGTTTCAAAGCTCCTCTCGAACTATCACAAGCCCCGGAGCATCTCATCGATCCTTTGGGCTATGCCCCGATGCTCGCCCGAAGAGCCTTGGGTGCTGAGCCGTCATTCAAAAATGCAGACAGGAGCGCTTCCATCAGCTTCAGAGGGGATGACAACGGCAGGTTTTGGGAAATTTCTGAACCACAACTGCTGGGACGGGCGTCGAACGACGCTACGAAGCCGACTCTTCCGCGCCTTCTCTGTGGATCCAAGTGGCCCCCATGCTGCGGCCCGTGCGCCAGCTGCCAGGAGCTGCTGGGGCCGGGCCACCTCGTTGCAAGCGGAGTTTGGTTCAGGCAGCACCCTGCTTGGAGGTTTACAGCTGCAGCGGGTTCAAAGCGACGGCTAGTTGCTTGTTGGGGTTTTCATCAATGCTCAGGGAGGTTACAGCAGGACAGCACAAGGCGGTGGCGGTACTTGCGGATACAGGCTACGCTGTGTAGAGTGTCGTACTTAATTCAGAATCTCCGTGCTCCAACAACAGTCTTGCATAACCAGGAGATCGACAAGCCCTGGGGCATGCTGAAAGCTGAAATAACCCCGCAACGGTGGCAAGGACAGTATCAGGAGCTTCCTGTCATAATGCACAAACTGCGCGAGGCAGCCTGATGTCCGCAGCCCGTTCCGTGAAGAAGCGACATGGGGAGACCCGTGGTGGCCAGTGCCGGCCGCAGTCCAGAAAGACACGAAGATAACATGCCAAAACCTTCCGAGATTGATGCAGCACGCACACCTCAGTTTCAGCTTTGTTGCTGCAATCCGTCTCTCAGCCGGCACAGCTGCAAGGTTCAGATTGAGTGAATGTCCGTCACAGCATATGCTGACGGCAATGGGCGTGCATGGCTGTTTGTCAAACCCCTGCCGACCGACCTGAACATTCACGTCAGCTACAACTTCATCACTGAAGGTGCACTGAATGGCTCGCGTTTTCAGCTGGCGAAGGTCCTTCCACCGCAGATGGAGAACCGGCTGTTTGTGACAGCATGCGGAGCTCGTTGGCCCAAACGATTGTCATCCTGCAGGGAGATGTCGGCAGCCTTTCTTGGGTCTTGCACTCACTTGCAGGGAGCTTCGATATGCTTCGATGACAAAAGGAGCAGCCAAACTTCTCACCACTACATTTGGAGTGAGCGCATGAGACTCATCCAAAAATCTTGCGGAGACTGTTTGAATCTGGCTCAGACGATGGAGCCGTCTTGCACTTGCTGCGTCCTTTTGAAGCAGATATGCAAGAGCTATAGAATCTGATGCGACAGTCGCGGCTGATACTGAGATGGAGCTCTTTGGCACACGGGATTCTGTCGTGAGATGTCAGGCAGCGTCAAATTGGACCGAATAACTTGCGAGTACTGCTCACCTTTGATTAGTAAATGGGGTCGGATTAATAGAATTATAGTCCGGGCCTGGGTGAGTTGAGCGACTCCTCAGACGTCTCGCGACTAGGGAAGGAGGGAGGCCATGAGACTCCTAATTCGAAAGACCCACTCCACAGAACGAAGATCTTGCAGTCGCTAGTTCCTTCGGCGCTGAAGTCTGAGGCTTTGAGGTTTCGAGATGGGATACTACCAACTCTCCTACAGATGCATCTGCAACTCCGCTCCCCTGCTGCGTCAGAGCAATGGGATCTCATCGGGTACTTATAGAGACGGAGCTCGTTGGCCCACGGATGCACGCGAGAGTTTGCCGTGAGATGTCGGCAGCCTCAGCTTAGCCTTGAGTCTTACAGAGATAACTTGCAAGTCGAGCTTCTCGCGACGATGTCCGGGGCGAGAGCATGAGACTCCAGGTTTGGAAAATTCGAGCTCTTCCTTCGCCCGGTGCTCACAGGCTTAGGCATGGCTTAGGCCCCTAGGCTTTCGATCTTCAGAGAACATAAACAGCAGTTCCCAGAGTCGGTCATGAGCTGCTACGCGCTGCCGCCTTTTGCAACATTTGCAATCGCAATGACTCTATGGGATCTGATCTTGCATAGGCAATGGTGGCCCGGGACACGGCATTGCGAGTCTCACATGATGAAGGGGAAGTGAAACATAGAAGATGGATTCACGGATAGAGCCTGCATTTGTGCGGGGGCGGGATTTGGTTTAGCTTCGACCTAGGAGCTTGAGGAATCGAGTCCTATGGAAATCTCTAGAATTTAAGTTAAGGCTCCTCGTACATGACGTGGTGGTTTTTGGGATTCCTTGCCGTCCAACCTCCAACTCGCAGAATACTTCCCCAGGCCGGAGCTCGCCCGCCCGAACTTTTCAAACGAAGTTCGAGAAAGACGCCGACAGGTCTCCCTGGAGATGTGCCGAAAGCCTCGTTGTACACGACCGTCTGCTCCCTCGAACCTACAACTGTGACACCGATCCCCTGCCGCGAGCTCACCGCAACTGAAGGCCTTTCACCAAAGACCGAAAAGACACCGAAAAATCCGATGTGCCTCCGCCCTGTCGTCGCAGCAGCGGCTCACGGCCTTGCCTTGCCAAGACCCAAACTTCGGACCACGCCGGGAGCTCCGGGGGGGTCGGGTCGTAGGAGCTGGCTTCAGCTCAAACCCTCCAGGCCTGCAGCTGCCAGAGCTTCAGCGTAGAGTCAAAGCTGCCGATGCACAGCACGTGCTCTCCCCGCACCTTTGTCATCACCAGTGCTAGGATCGCTTTGCCGTGGGCACCCTTGATGTTGTGCAGCGGCTCGCCACTCTGCGTTGACCAGACACGGAGGCTGCCATCAACGTCAGCAGCTGCGAGGTGGTTGGGCGCCAGGAGGCACAGCGAAAGGACAGAGCCCGTGAGGCCTTGGAGGACCCTCACGGTCGTCCAGGTGCTGAGGCTCCACAACCGTACCGTTTGGTCGGCGCTGCCGCTCGCCAGCAGCTCCGGCGAGGCCTGGCAAAGGCAGAGGACTTTGTTTGTGTGGCCACGCAGCTCGTGCTGCTCCTCGCCGGTGTCTGGGTTCCACACACGGAGGGTCCTGTCATCGCTCCCGCTCACGAGGCTGCAGCCTGTGATGTCGCAGAGGCAGCGCACGTCGCCGGTGTGGCCCTGGAGCACTCGGTACTCTTCCGGCTTCGCGACGCTCCACAAGCGGATGGTCTTATTGCCAAAGCTTGCGCTCGCGAGCTGAGTGTCATTGAGCCGAGCCAGGCCCAGCACAGCGCCCGTGTGTCTGCTGGGGACTTGGAGGGCCTCCTTGCTGTGCAGATTCCAAGTGCGCACCGTGCCGTCCTCGGACCCACTGGCCAGGACATCCTCAGACATCAGGCACAAGCATGTCACAGGCGCTTTGTGCCACAGCAGCTTTGACGCAGGCTCATCGCTCTCACCGAGATTGTGGAGCCGGATAGTGCCGTCCTTGCAGCCCACCGCCAGCCTGCCCGCTCCCGTAGTGCAGGCGCAGCACACCTCCGAGTCATGCGTGACACATTGCACTTCGGTGGGATCCTTCGAGAAGCCGCGCACGCCCCACGCCTGCAACAAGACAAAAGTGCGCATGCTCTGGCTTGGCTTTCGCAACCGGGGATTGGGGCTCTTGCAGACTGCACAGAACAGTACTTTTCAGTAGGAACGGCCGCTCAGTGCTCCACAAGGTCTTGTGTGCAGCATTCTTGCATGTTCTCGCCGGGCTGCTTCGACCCCGCGCTCTGAACCTCCGTCGAGGTCCGCATTCGTTGTTGGGGAAATCCCGTCTCACAAGCCTTGGATGCGTCGATGGGACGCGCACCTCGACTTCCAGGGTTGATACTAGGTTTACTAGGTTTCAAGAGGCAAACCTGACTCCAGAGCACGGCCTCGACATGGCCGAAACATGGCTCTTGTCGCACTGCATCTCTGTGCAAGAGCGGGTTGCTATGCTGGCTTGTGTTTCATCCGAGTTGGACTCCTCCCCAGGAACCGCAACACCGCCTGCCGAGTTACCTACTGATGAGCTTCGTTGAGACTGTTTGCCCACATGGGCCAGAATCAAAGCTAACTTAGCCTCAAAGGGTCTGGCATGGTCTGGCTACTGGTTTGGCCGGCCTCAAAACGGAAGCATCAACTCAACCATCTTGAACGGCACGGGACTGCGATGTCCAAACGGTTTTACACGCACCACGTGCCTAAAGCTGGTGGTCAAGCATGTTGCAGCCACAGCTCTTGGCAGCAGGTGTCTGATCCGGTTCGTCGCAGAGTCGTCAGAGGTTTGCAAGGTGTTAATTATCTCTGTGACAAGAACGACCGACCGGAAATTTAAAGCCCAGCAAAAACTGGCAGCAAACAAGATGTAGCTTGCAATAAGGATCCAGTCGGAGGTCACCTGAAACATCCCTGCTACCAGCAGGGTACACCGGGACAGCCGTCGCCTTCGAAACAAGCTCTCCGCGAGTCGAACGACGATTTCCACGTGGTTATGTGCAACATGGTGCAACGACGCTTCACCAAGTTTGATTTTTCCAAGGCCAATGTCAGCCGTTTAGACTATATTGCTGGGTCTCACCCAGTCCTAAAGCACGGCGAACAAGCGTGTATCCCGTCCGAGGCCTAAAGCGTCTGTCTTGTCTTCACTCGATACGAACTCCGGAGGTGCGAACCTGCTCACCGGGTCTCTATGTTGGGCATGTCTGCAGACGACAAAGCAGAACCGAAATGAGCATCACTTCAGCCAGCATGCTGACCAGCAGGAAGAACCCGCGCCCCCTGCCCCGGGCCTGGAGCTGCCGGAGCTTCAGGGTAGAGTAGCTGCCGCTGCACAGCACGTGCTCGCCACGCACCTTCGCTATCACTAGGGCATTGATCTCTTCACTGTCACTGTGGGGCTTCTTGACATCGTGCAGAGGCTCGCCACTCTGCACCGACCAGATCCGGAGTCGGCCGTTGTCATCGGCAGCTGCGAGGTGGTTTGGGGCCAACAGGCACAGCTCGGAGATCTCGCTTGCGAGGCCTTCGAGGACACGCACGGTCGTCCAGGTGCTGAGGCTCCACAACCGCACCGTTTTGTCCGTGCTGCCACTCGCAAAAAGCTCGGGTGAGGCCTGGCAGAGGCAGCAGATAGAACTTGTGTGGCCGAGCAGCTCGTGCAGCTCCTCGCCGGTGTCTGGGTTCCACACTCGGAGGGTCTTGTCAAGGCTTCCGCTGACCAGGCTGCCAGTGGTCGTGAGCCAGAGGCAGGCCACCCAGTCGGTGTGGCCCTGGAGCACTCGGCACTCTTCCGGCTTTGCGAGACTCCACAAGCGCACGGTGTTGTCCCTACCTGCGCTTGCGAGCTGAGTGTCATTGAGCCGCGCCAGGCCCCGCACCGAGCTCGTGTGTCCGCTGAGGACTTGCAGCGCTTCCTTGCTGCGCAGATTCCAGGTGCGGATAGTGTCGTCTTCGGACCCGCTGGCCAGGACCTCCACCGACAGCAGACAGAGGCAGTTCACAGCGTGCTTGTGCCCAAGCAGCTTCGAGGTGGACTCATCACTCAAGTCGTGGAGCCAAATGCTGCGGTCCCGACAGCCCACCGCCAGGCGGTTTGCTCCCGTGGTGCAGGCGCAGAGCACCTCCGAGTCGTGCTTGATGCTGCGCAGCTCGGACATCCGGGCAAAGTCCACGTCCCGAGTGCCCCAACGCCCCAAGGCCTGAGAAGTCGCCACTGCAAACTGAGCATTCGGACTCTGTTCCCAGTGCATCGGCAAAGTTTGACCGGAGTCCCGAAAGCCTCCTTCCCCCCCTCTGCTGCGTCGCGCCTGCGTGGCTTGGAAGGCCAACGCCAAGTCGTTTTGGAGCTGGGCATCGACCAGGTCCAGCGCCCAAGGTGCCTGTCGAACGACCTGCCACATAAAGAAACATTTCAAGTGCTCGACACCTCCAGACCCCGGCACCGCTGCACAGCTTCGAGCCGACATCTCACAAGGCTAAAGCCCGCAGCCCAGCCGGTGGACCTCCAGAGCCAGCTCCCGGTCGCCGCGCAGGGGGCCAGCGAACTCCAGCACCTCGGCGGGCTTCCAAAAGTGGGCGAAGGGCCGGGGCCGGCGGGAAGACTCCATGTCAAGAGTGGTGTAGCCTCAAGATCCTTTCTCCAAAGCCTGCGAAACCCACAGCAAAGAGCCTCCGCTCAAGACGCTTCAATCTCAAGCTGCTGCTGCAGAACACTCGCCTCACCCTCTAACATTTTTTTCCCAAGCGCGGCAGGTTGGAGCCGCATTGCGTCCGCGACGAAGTCACGATCCTCGCGAGTGATGCTACAAAGCAGGGTCTGTGGCGCGCTCTTCGGCTTTGCCAGCAGAACTCGAGTCTGGTGCTGTCGAGCTGCAGTGCACAGATCTCAGATCACTTCAGATCGATTTTTACTCCGTGTCCTCCCGAAAGCCGCCCACGAACTCGAGGGCTCGGGGATGCCGCTGCACTGCATCCAACAGGAAGGATCGCTCCGAGTGCAGGGCCTGCCCGGCTTTGCAGAGAAGCCCTTAACCCTTCTCAAAACCCGCCAAAACTACAACAGCATACAGCACTTTCGGACGCCTCCGACGCATCGGCCAAGCAGGTGGCGTCGTGGCTGATGCAGGCCAGGACCACGTCGCGGTCGTTCCGAAGATCCTCAGGGGCCTGGCTCTGGGCAGCGGGTAGGAAAGAAGGTTGAAGGACTCTGGGCAGCAGACAAGTACCCTCCCCTGCCTGCTGCAGGGCCTCTCTCACGGCATCGAAAGGAGGTAACGGAAGTGTGGGAGCCAGGAAGTAGGGGTCTTCCCGGAGTTTCTCTCCGAGGTCCTTGGGCCCCAAGCCCTTGAGCACCACCTGCCGGAGGAATTCCTCCGGAGACTCCAGGCCCCCTTGCTTGCACAAGGCCTTGACCTGGCCAGGAGTGGCCCCCAGCTCCAACATCTCCCCCACAGACACCAGGGACCAGTCCAGCAACTGCACCCGCTGCTCCCCCAGGGGCGCCAACAGCGACCATAGCGACGGCTCCTCACTTCGCAGGGCCTCTGCATCCAGCACCTCGCTGAGCAGATCCCCTCGTGCTGGAGCCCGGCGGCGGCTAACATCTTCACGGCCTTACCACTCTTGGAGTGGAGAGCGCAGTGCAGTAGTGTCAAGGTGCGAGGGGTTTCTCCAGCTGGCATTGCCGTGGTGACGCCAAGGTCGGCATCCATGTCCAGCAGAGCCCTCAGGATTTCGAAGTGCACTGGCTGGTGGCCTTGCGGTCGCAGCAGCACCGCGTGCAGCGGGGGGTGACCGTCTTTCGCACTGCTGGGGGTGTTCGGGTCGGCCCACTCTGCCAGCAGCTGCTGGACCTTCGCAAGATTGCCATCAGCACCTCGGCATAGCAGGAAAAGGCTTAAAGGGGACACTGCGCAGACTCGAGCACATCAGATCTCACAACCCTCTCGAAAGTCGAACGAGTCGGAGGAGCCGAACGGAAAGGAGGAAGGCCGCTGCAAAAACAGCATTTGGCCGGGCGGGCTTCGGCCCTGGAGCAAATCAAAGCGATGTCAGGAGGGCGGCCACTTCAAAAAACAGCCTTTTTTTTCGCTGCTCCTCTGTCGCGTACATCGCTTCTTTCTCTAACGGCGGCCCCTTCGTGGCTAAAGTTTCCACAACGAGTATCGGAGGAGGCTTCAAAGACCTGCCTGGAGGAATGTCTGTGAGCGAGGAGGCAACACTCAAGTCCGGCACAACCTCTTCTTCAAAAGGTCTCAGGCGTCTTCTTTCAATGCACTGTGTACTGATGACATGCTCGTGCCCCCAATTCAACGAGGAGCATGCCGGAAGCAGACAAGGCAGCCAGCGAGAGAGAGAGAGAGGGAGAGAGAGACAAAGAGCCAGACAGAGAGCCAGAGAGGCGCGCACGAGCACTCTGCGTTGAGGCCGGCACAGGATGCAATCAGTTCCTGGCTTTGGACCAGCCGGCGCTTCACGGCAGCACCCAGGTCATCCTTCGCCTCGCGCAACCTCACACGTCTGAGATACACTGAGTCAACTTCTGGATCCCGGTCGCCCCAAAAGCGGGTCAAGCTTTGACTCTGCTTTTTGTAGCAATTCAGCTCAGTCGCTGGTCCAGACCACCGTCTGCACACTGGGCGGCCACGGAGACGAGGCGCGCGACGCCTCCATCGAGGGTGCTAGCATGGTTACCCTTCTATCCACGACGAATAGCATCTAAGGAGGCGAAGGCAAACAAACAGGCAAGCAAATGCATACAGCAGCGGCGGTCGCGAACTGGCATAAGAAAGGGTCCGAAATCAAAAGCTTTGCAACTCACATGCATGGGGCCTTCGTCGCCTCCCGATTGGCGAAGCTTCAACAGGCCATCCAGGAGGGGCACCTCAGGTGTTGACATCCGCACATGCCGAAGAGTTTTGAATCTTGTCGTGCCCTCCCCGCCTGGCCATCGTTATCTCGAGCTTGGAGGTCGGCGCGAGCACAGAGAAGGGCCCACATCGCCCGCTCGTGGCCCTGCGCCATGGCTTCGTGCAGCGGCGTCCGCCGCATCTTGGGATCCCTGTGGTTCACATCGGCGCGGAAGGCCAAGAAGATGCTCACGAGGTGTGCGTTGCCCGCCTTGGCCGCCTCGCAAGCCGCATCCAAGGTGGAGGCGAGAAGGGAAGCACGACAAAACACAAAATCACGCCACTCTACTTCGGGGAAGGTAGAGTGGGCCCCCACCCCCTTTAGTGTGTAGAGCAAGAGCAGGGCAGTCCTTGTGAAGGAGACCCTTCTTGTCGTCATTCAGCATCTCCTGGCTTTGGGATCCAGCTTCGGGAGCTTCGTTGGTGGGAGGATGGCGTCCCTTTGAGTGGAATGGCTTGGCTCGGAAAGACATCTCGATGCCTGCGGCGCTCTCTCTTGTTGACATACGGTCACCACAAAACATGCATCTGCATGGGAAGCCTGAGAGGTCGAAAAGCTGTACCTTTTCCTTCGAACCCTCAGCTAGAATCTACTGTAGAACCCCCCGCAACTCGGATGTTTCAGTCGACACCAACCCCCAACTCGACGAGCCAGAAAGAAGCACGATCCTGGAGTTCGGCGTCGGCGTTGGGGCCCAGGTTCTCCTTTGGAAGGAGCGGCTTTCGCGCGATTTGGAAAAGAGAGATGCTGGCACAAGAGGGCTTCGAGCTTCTCGGAGCTGCAAGTTCAAAGTGCCCCTGCCCGAAAACCCCGGTCCTTGCCCCACTGCAGGATGTTGTGGCACCTCTCCACAGCATTCGGCTCTGCAACTGCTGCCATGACCTTGTTCGAGATGCAGAGCAGCTGTTCTCTAACTTTCCACTGCAAAAAAGGTGGCAAACGCCCGAAACGACCGACGTTCCCTGTTGGGAAAGCCGTGCTGCCACACGGTCAGAGGGAAGGCTCCGCCAATCTGGCCGAGGCTCCTCGCGGGAGACCTCGAAGGCCCGGTGCCCCGCGTTCTCTTTGACGTGCAGCATCCACTTCGTGTTCAGCCTCAGCGGACACGGGGTTCAGTTCGAGACGGCTCAAGAACACTCAGGGTAAACCCTTGCGTTCAAGCAGGTTCTGAAGCATGCGCTCTGCGCAGCTCACAAGGAGTCATACCCCGACTCTTTATGTGCGGATTTGCTCCAAACGCTCGCTGAGCTGAGAGCTGAACTTCGGAATTTCAAGCCAGAGCACAACAGCAAGAGAGTCTGGAGGGCGGCGGTCAATCATATCCCGCAGTTCTACGACAGCCTCGAGAACGCAACCGAGCGCCTTATGGCAGGCGAGAAACTGCAGCTCGCAGACCATTCCTTCGATTCGGAGGCTCAGCTGAAGGTCCTTGGACAGGGTTGCGTTCGGGCTCCGGGCGCCGGACCGAAGGATCGTTAAGCAGAGGAGGGGCGAAGGTGAGTAGTTCGCCTATTTCTCGGGCTTCCCCCGTCGCACTGCGGCACTGCAGCTGTGAAGTGGCACAGTGCAAGTCTTCTCCTGTTAACGCCAAGGATCACGATACCCTCCGTCGAGCGGGTTCATATAACGGTCGTTACACTCGATGATGTCGATCTCCTCGTCTTCGTGGATCGCTCGGAGACCTTTGTACCTGGAGAGGCTCTTAATCCCAGCACCTACCTTTACGGCTGCAGGTGTGCATGCTTTCCCTTTTCCAGGACCCCCACATGTCGTCCAGGTTTTTATAAACGATGGTATCCCTCACGATGTCGGTCAATCTGTGCCACGAGACTTCGCCGTTCTTGTCCTGCAGAGGGAGCATGGTGATCTGGCTGCACCTGTCTGTCATGCCTGCTTCCAGTCTCTCCCTCTGGGCGTCACTGCCTGCTCTATGCGGAGACATGCGCCTCTAGATATCTCTACAGTGATCAAGACAGAAATAGAAACCGCAAACAAAGTAGACCCCCACACCAGAACTTGCTCTCTTCTTTCGGCGTCCTTGTACTTGAACTGTGCTTTGTCTTGGCACCGCTGCATGCCTTTCAGGGGCGGCTCCACGTTTTCTCCGCCCGTGCGTTCTGACACATCCCGAACTTTGGCGAAGAAGATCGGTGCCTTGTCCTCTTGCACTGCAGCATCGGCAACGGAAGCGAACGAGCACATCCATTCAGCTAGCGGTCCCCCGCCACACAAAGGAAACGACGACTAGCATGCCTTCAGAACCTGAATGAAGCTGAGTGTGCGTATGTGTGTGGTCCTTGCAGAATGCAAAGAGCTCCTCCAGCGTGTTTTGGTATCTCAGTGGACACGTGGAGTTCATGTACAACACATGAAAGCATGCTTGGACGTCGCAGGGAAACATCAAAAACGTTTCCGGGAGTCAGGAAGGAGCTCTCTGCTGACGGAGCTGCGGCTGGTAATTCATCTTCGTGGAAAACGACCGCCGCTTCTGCCACTCTTTGCCCATCATGTCGACGAGATCCTATAGCACGCCGCATCACTCGGTTAGACCATTGTAGCGCTGGGAACTGACAACATCCTTACATGAATCCACTCGAGTCAGGTCAGCTGGCGAAGCTGCACGGATTCATGTGAGAGTGACGCTGGCATGCGCTTGACAGCAGGGGTGCATGGCATGGCCTTGCTGGGCTCATATGTCTCCTTCAACTCCTCGCTGAAGGCCTCGAGTCGCGGACGGAAGTTCGCGAAAGCTCTTGCCTTTTGCAATAGTTTGCACATGGCCACAAGGCGGACACAAAATGCAAGTGGATGCGGCAGCAAGCGTTGGCCCCCTTTTGACCTTCCCTACACGCACCCTACCAGCCATCATGTCCGAAGTCCTACCAAAACTCACCCGGGCAGCTTGAGCTGCGCGGTTACCTACAATCGGGCTCGGAGATGCAAGTGGAGAAGTGGGGGAAGCAGCTCAAGATGACTCGGACCGACTGGCTTAAACTTACGCGATGGAAGAACTCGGAAGTACACATGAGGCAGACTCCGATAAGCATCCACGGCAATCCTCCAGCAAATGCAGCAAACCCGCGCCCCGTCCTTGTACTCGTGCAGTCGCGTCTCCCCTCCAGATACTTCCTGAGTCGCGCAACGGGCTCGGAGCATCCCTAAACCAGGCACTCTGGCAAACTGAACCCGATTTATATACAGATTTCCGCGACTTCGTGCGCCTCATGAAAACTCGACTCTACAGCACCGTATAGGGCCAAGGCGCCAACGCCGAGTCATAGTCCTTGGGCATCGTCGCCGGATCGACTTCATCGCCCTCCCTGCAAGCATGGGCACAGTTTTCGAAAGAGAATCAAAGCCGACAAAGACAAGGCTCCTCTAGCGAGAATCGCTGCTAGGGACCTCCGCAAATCCTCTGACCCAGAGCTCTCCCGGCCGGGGCCTTTTCAGCTTCCTTGGCTCCTGGGTTTCTTCCGGCTGCACTTGCTGCTCGAGCCGCGACAAGCGGCGCACCAACTGTGCCATCTCTTCGCCTTCCGCGAGCTTTGCTGCCCGGCTGCTCCCGAGAAGTTGCTGCGCACAATATGCATACATATATATATATATATATATATATACATATATATATATATATACATATATATATATATATATTCTGTAGGTACGGACAAATACGGATAGCTTCTGTTCGCATAACCCTGGTCTTGCTGATGTAGCGGCATAACTTCGAGGAGCCACGGACTTGCTGCATCGGATACTTGTAATTTCGACAGCTGCGTTTTTCTATTACTAGACTTCAGGCGTGCGTGTAGAAGCACCCATTCTCTCTTCAGCAACCTCCCAAGGGTATCCGTGCCCCCCCCCCGGCCTGCAGGCTGTGCCGGTGCGAAGCCGGTGCTAGACTTCAGCCTCCGAAGCTCCGCGTAAAGCATCGCGATGGTGGCCCCCATCTTGCAGAGCAGCATCGTGGTCTTAGTCGGCGACAAGAAGAGCCCCGCTTTAGAAACCCGATGAGCCAACATCTTGCGAGAACCGAACAGAACAGACTGATGTGTCTGGGGTGTGTGGTGTCTGGCAACTTGCAGCCCGGCTGCGTGGCCGTTGATGGCCAGGAGCCACTCCCGCCTCTCCTGCTCCGTTGGTGCCACCAGGCGAAGGTGCGTCAACGCCGGCTCCGCCTGCACGAAATTCGACACTTCGAAGGCGTAGCCCTCGGACTCCGGCGGGAGCTTCTCGTGCTCGGGCTTGGCGGAGCCGGTGGCTCCCAGCATCAACAGGGCTTGGCGCTTCTCGGTGGTTTCGGCGAAGGTCTCGAGGATGCCGGGGCCGAGGAGAACGAGGACCTTCTCCCAGGTGTCGGTGCGGGGCTGGTACTGCCACAGCTGGCCACGCTTGAAGGGCGCTTGCATCTGTGGCAGGCCGGTCATTGCGAAGGACAAGTCGAAGTCCTGTCGGTCGCAGACAAACCCTGAGGCATGATGCAACCGAGCCACGATCCATATGGAAGATCTTGGGATACACCTGTCGCGGCATGACAGCCATCTACACCACGAGTACTCACGAGCTTTCCGCCGTCGGTCCTGCATGTCGTTGCCGCCGCAGTCCTGCAGATGCTCCCAAGTTCCAGTATACTTCTACACCACCTCAAACGAATGCAAGAAGAAGCAATGCAGGCACTGCAAGAACAAAGATGCCGGCTTCTGCCAGATCCCAATAGAGGCGCCTCGGCCCTTGCGCCGCCGTGGGAATCCAACAGGTCCTGCGAGGCAGTTTCCAAGGGGGCTTCCGATGGCTTCGGCTTGAAGGCTGCTGTTCTGCCCTAAGAGACCCCAAAACAATCAAAAAAAAACGCGGGGCTCCCCGCCTTGGCGCCGCCGCCGTGCGAAGCCGCAGAGAGCTCGCCTTCCAGGGCCGAGAGCTCCTGCGCGAGAAGAGCCCGAATTTTTTTCCGAGAAACGGAGCTCTGCGAAAGCTTTTGGCTCTCCAGCGAAAAGCAACGCAAACTGCTGAAAACCTGTCTTAGTAGAGGCCCTCCCTATAAAGCGAAGGGCCTAACCTGGCCTAACCCAGAGAAAGAACACAATCGAAGCGGTGAAGAAGGAGTCCCCGAAAGCCAGCTCCTGCTTCAGGGCTTCGTTGCGGCGGCGGAGGGACATCGGTGCTTGGTGGTGCGGGGCGCGCTGGCGGAGCCAGCCGGTGATGAAGCTTTCCGGGTCCTTGCGGAAGCTAGCGATTTCAGCAGTTGCGTGTGACATGTGCGAGGGATTCGCGATGTTCGGCCAGGCTCGGGAATCTGTGCGGGAATCTCAACCCGCCTGCGGCGTGATCGGCAACATGTCCGTTGCGAGGTCCGTCGTCAACGGCTGTATCACCGATTTCAGGTAGGACTCGATGGACTCCGACGTCGTGGCCATGGGTGGCTGTGAAGGCTCGAAGGCGAGAGGCGGAGATGCGGAGAGGTGCGGGAGGCGGAACTGCCGGGGGAGCTCTCGAGCAAGAAAGCGCGTGGACAAAGCTGTGCGCCGGCTCCAATCGAAACACTCAGGAAATCTCGTGAAGGAGTCAGAGCGGCCTTTGCAGAGCCTTTTTCGAGGCGTCGGTGTTGGGTGGTCTGCGCTTCGGACCGAGACTTCAGCCGGTGATGCGCCACAGATATAATGTGCACTGCTGCTCTTTCTCACCAAGACGCTTCAGGATCTTGCTCAAAAGATGCTGGGACTAACATCACAAACCCATAGAAGTAGCCAGAGCTCATGCGCACCGGTAAGTCAGTAGAATCAGCCACCGCTCTTCTCACGAGGAGCAGTCGTGGCTCAGAGCTGCAGCCTGCAGCGGATGCGGGAAGATTCGGAGGCTCCCAACTTCGCTCCGACCTGATCACGGCAACCTGCCCACACAACTCACCCTACCACTCGAGAGCGCCCTCTTTGAGGCTTATAAGCTGTATGCCATTCTGAAGCTAGGCAGACATGGGAAACGTTCTAGGATCAGGACCTAGGTGCGCTTTGGCTGCGTCTGAAACCACGACAAAGACCCGCAGGCAGCCTGCATCTCCTCAGCTCCGCCAAGCTCCGCCATCTCCACCTGGCCGGGAGAAGTTCTTTGGACCAAAGCTACAGAAACCCCAAGCCCTTGAACCCCAAAACCCTTCAAAACCCTGAGCTTCCGGGGGCTTTCGGCTCTTATGGGGCTTCGGCTCAAAGAAGCGAAGTCAAGTTGGAGGATCCGCAGTAGAATCCAAAAGTGGGATTCCCAGTGTTTAGGTTTGGGACTTGACAGAACTTGGAGTGCCCAGCAGGCCCGCAAGACCACCTCAGAGCAACTGTGTCCTTCTGGGGTCCATCATCCTCCTTTTTACGGCTTTTGTGTTTAGGAGGGCCCTCTCATCCGCTGTTTTTAGGGTTTAGGGTTTGGGATTTGACAGTTGCCGCATGCTAAGCGTATGCATCAGTCTGAGTCGAACACACCAATGAGCCAACCAACCAGCCAACCGATCAACCAACCAACCGACCAAGCCACATCTTAGCCCGGACCATCCCTTTAATGTGCGCAGTCCTCACCGTGAATATTGGATGCTTGACATATGCTAAGAAGCAAGGTCGATTGCTCTGTGCAGAGTTTCGGTGTTGTGTGGAAATCCCACACCGAAGAGCTTCAATACTATGAGCCCGGATGCTCAAACTCCGAGTCAGAAGGAGTACCAAAAACCCCCCAAACTGCCTCCATGCAACTTGCTGGAGATGCCCCCAAGCTCTGCCAGAGGCTGTTGAGCCGAAGGTTGATAGAGTTGAGGATTTAGGGTTTACGGTTTAGGGCTCAGCATTGGCAGTCGTGGCGACGAAATGTCAGGAAGGAATCACTAGACACAGACGGAGGAAACCGAGAGGCCACCTAACAGCGGTGTACGATTTGGGGCCACCTTAGCCACCCATTTAAGGTTTCAGTACAGAACTTGGAGCACACACCGGCCCACAAGGTCACCTCACAGCAACTATGAACCATTAGGGTCCCTTGTCCGCTTGTTTGAGGCTTTTGGGGCTTGGGATACGACAGAACTTGGTGCACCCACAGGCTCGCAACGTCACCTCACCGCGACTGTTTGCACTTTGCCCCCCCTCATCCGCCGATTTAAGGTGTGAAGTGTGCCGGTTTGGGATTGACGGAATTTGGAGCACCCACGGGCTCGTGACCGTGCAGTCACACTGCAGATTCAAGGCCCCTGACAGCAACGATATGGCTCAAAAGACTTGTACGGAAGGATGGTTTCAGACAATGCACAAAACAGAATGGAAACCATATAAATCCAGTCAGCTAGTTCATCATGGCAATATGCGTAGACAGCTACACACGAGCACCTTCCATGGCTCCTCCTATAAAGCGGTGCTTTTCTGTCTTGAACCGATTTTGGTAAGCGCGTTTCTGCATATGTACAACCGTTGTCGCAGGGGTTCTACTTCAGTTGCCCTGCCTAAAGGACATCGAATGCCTAAGCGGGCGTATGGCCGCATCTACAATGTACAAGTAATGATTCTTGCTCAGTTGGCTCGCACACGTGCTGGGGGCCTTGGCACATGGATGCAAAAGTACAAACTTGCAGCACTTCCCGGCGCTGCAGACGAGGGCAGTGTCGGAGACCTCCCACAGTGCTGCCCGACTGCAACACGACGGGCCGAGCACAGAGAAGGAATTGCGCCTAGCCCCACACCGGCAACAAGAGGTGTGGAAGTAAGCTCTAGCGTCCACACGTCCTCGCCACAAGGGCGGGAGGACAACCGAGGACTGAGAGCCTTCGGTGCCCTCACGAAGCACGGAGATGTCCGAGTCGGGTGGCTGCAGCCTGCAGCGGCGAATCCAAGAAGCCGGTCGCTGGACCGGCGTTGGGCTGCTTCTCACCCTCGGCACGCGCTGAAAGCCAGGCCCGCCAGCTGAGGCCAGAAAGCCTAAACCACCCCGGCATGGGCTGCGTGGCCCGCGGATGCCAGGGACCCAGAGATGGCATCTCCGAAGAAGGGCTGAGATCAAGTGCCCATCTCTCCTTGCATTCAGCAAGTTCGCAAGGCCCTGGGCTGAGGTGTGGTCCAAAAGCCGATCAACCTACATCCCTGTCGCTCCAGCCTCTCTGGAGAGGGTCCGCGGTGGAGCGCTGGACATCTTCTGTCCTGAGACCTAGCTTCCTCAGTTCAGGCAGCTGCGATCCTGCGTGTGTGTGTGTGTGTGTGTGTGTGTGTGTGTGTGTGTGTGTGTGTGTGTGTGTGTGTGTGTGTGTGTGTGTGTGTGTGTGTGTGTGTGTGTGTGTGTGTGTGTGTGTGTGTGTGTGTGTGTGTGTGTGTGTGTGTGTGTGTGTGTGTGTGTGTGTGTGTGTGTGTGTGTGTGTGTGTGTGTGTGTGTGTGTGTGTGTGTGTGTGTGTGTGTGTGTGTGTGTGTGTGTGTGTGTGTGTGTGTGTGTGTGTGTGTGTGTGTGTGTGTGTGTGTGTGTGTGTGTGTGTGTGTGTGTGTGTGTGTGTGTGTGTGTGTGTGTGTGTGTGTGTGTGTGTGTGTGTGTGTGTGTGTGTGTGTGTGTGTGTGTGTGTGTGTGTGTGTGTGTGTGTGTGTGTGTGTGTGTGTGTGTGTGTGTGTGTGTGTGTGTGTGTGTGTGTGTGTGTGTGTGTGTGTGTGTGTGTGTGTGTGTGTGTGTGTGTGTGTGTGTGTGTGTGTGTGTGTGTGTGTGTGTGTGTGTGTGTGTGTGTGTGTGTGTGTGTGTGTGTGTGTGTGTGTGTGTGTGTGTGTGTGTGTGTGTGTGTGTGTGTGTGTGTGGAGGAAGCGTGTCCCCACGGCGTGCAGAAGAAGGCCAAGGGTTGCTTCGACTGTTGCTAGGAGCCTGTGCTTCTGGGAAAAAGAACAAACTCTTCGGTGCTTCGGGATATGAAGTCTCACCGTCCCCAACAAACTGCGGTGTTTAGAGGGAGTACTGTCCCTTGTGCACCTCGGTTTTGGCATGCCGAGCCTGACGCGACGTGGCCTCAAACCTGTCAAATCCGAGCAAGGTTGCTGTTTTGATGTGGTGCTGTTGCACGATCATAAACACGTTGCAGGAACGTGTATCATGGCCGTTCCCATCTTGGCTGAGTGCCTCATCCAAGCGCAGGCTTTCCAAGTGAGCTCATGAAACGTCTGCATGCGCCCGCAGCTGGACTTGCTTTCACAGGCCCGAGTGCCCAGAATGTTCAATGCGAGCCGCAAAGGTAGCAATACTGAAAGCAAAAGGGACTTGAGGCACCCGCATTTATAGAAGGCAGTGCCCCAGAGCTCCGGAAAATAGCTCTAAACGCTTATCGTTAAACCCGAAACCCTAAACCCGCAACCGTAACTATCTGTATCTTTTTTGCTCAGGGACTCCTTGCTTCTGAAATCCCGGGTGTGACAGCACAAGGGACTTAGCCCTGCAGAGAAAAAACGTAGACAAGCTTAGGGTTTAGGGGTTTAGGGTTTAGGGACTGGCAGGCTCCCCCCGAGCTAAAATTCCCAAGCTGGGAACTTGAAGAAACGACGGAACTTAGCCGCGGCTACGCTCGGTAGCATTTCTAGGAAAACACGTCCTACGTCACTTACTCTATACTAAGCGAAGGGGGCTGGGCCGGGAAGAAACGGAACTTAGCTGGAGTTCTCTTCTGTGTGCGCAGAAGGAGCGACATGGAGTTCTCCAGAAGATGGAATTGGGTTCAACGGATGTCAGGCAGAGTATTCAGGCATGACGGAGCTGGCAAGAAATCGAACGTTGATTCTAGTCCTGTAGCAACTGTGAGCCCGTGAAAAAGTTGGAACGAAGACCCGCGTAGACCCTCTCAACTTCAAACCCCTGCTTCTAGAGCATTTCAAATGGATGCTTGTGGCACCAGGCGTCGACAATACTGCAGGGCTTGCAAGTCTGCGGTGCATCTTGGCATGGAGAAAACAGACTTCGCTCTGCCTGCGGGCCACCAGTCCATCATTTGCACCTGGCAAAGTCCAAAATTCGAGAGGGCACTCGGAGCAGGATCCAACGCGGCAACGGCACGGACGCACGCACAAACCACTCGTGCCGCTCTTTGTAGATCATGATGCCAGAACAGGGGCAGCTGAGCGGAAGAGGCGGCTAAGCGCAGGAGAAAGCGCAGTGGCCTCAGGAAAAAGCCGGCGGGGCGTAATTATCCTCCTGGGACAGGGCCAAAACATCAGTGGAGCGCAAGACTCACGTCGCCCCCTTTTCGCAGTTTTGCGTTTGAAAATGCACCGAGTGGACCATCACCTTCCGGCGAATCTTGCGTCCTGAGACTTCCCAGGTGGAGACTGAGGCCTGGCTCCCGAAGTCTCTCGTCGAGCAGTCTTAATTTGAAACTGAAGGAAATTGGAGGGAACACCGTGGCCAGTGTCTGTTGGGTCTCTTGTGCATTTTGGCTTTGGCATGCCGAGCTCTGACGCGACATGGCCTCAAACCTGTCAAACCCGAGGACGTGGTGGTGCTGCGCGATCATAAACACGCCACACGGAAGTTGTATCATGGCTGTCCCGACTGTCCCTATCGCAAGTGAACGCCACAGCAAATGTCTTGTGGACTTGTCTGCGCATGCCCAGAGTTCGAGCCGCACTGGAATCAATGCTGACAACAGATTATAGGGTCCTTAAGGGAGGGTGGTTCAAAGGGGGAGGGTACCGGGGATCCTTAGGGAACCTGAAGGATACCTGAGGGAGCACTTCGAGAGAACGTGGGATTAGTAGGTTATCTGCCCCCCTTGATAGTAGGTTGTCTACCCCTCTTGGGGCCCCCTCCCATAAGGATACTACAAGCAGAGGGAACTCAGCCCCGTAAGAAGAAACTGGACGACAAGAAGCTGCACGACGACCTCTCAGCCTGAGAAACCCAGTAGTAAGGGCCCTCCCGCGCACCACCCCCGCTTGCAAGCTAGGCCGCGAGCAGAAGGACCAGCTCGGCTTCCGGCCATTTGTACTAATTGAATCTTAAGCCAGGCGGCAAGTCGGTGAGAGCCGACTCTGCAGAGAAAAAGCCTTAGTCACACATTGGAAAGTGGTAGAAAGGAACATGTTCACCTCGCAGAACAGTCTGGACGCAGCCCTCCTGTGACAACATCTTGGAAATTCATGCCTGATCTAGAGGATGCGCTCGACTCCAAGATCAACATGTTTGTTCCCGGATATTCATCACAAAGCGGAGCGCCTTTGTGCAATCTTGGGGGGTCAATTGCAGGTCTTCGGAGTGGGAAGCCCGTGATCAGGATGGCTTTGCAATGAATGTCCAGCGAAATCTTCGTGATCATAGCTAGTCCCCCCGAGCTGGCGTCACCTTGATCATCATCTGCTTACAAAGCTCATGTCCAACGCATAGGCTCAGACTTGAACACCCCTGGCCACGGGCAGCCTGGAAGTCACAGGCATCGCAGACTTGAGGGTACCAGTTTCAGACTTATCAAAAACCCACAGCTGGCAGTCTCGGTAAGTCGTACCCTCAGCTCGATACCCTGCACTTCCTGGCAGCGGCCTAGGAGAACAGTTGCAGACATGAAGAAGCGGTCTTGGCTAGGCACCTGTGAGGAGTTCTCAGCGCAGAACGGCCGCAAAGCCGAGCGAGATGATTGAAAGGGGGGTAAGTAACAAAATGAAGTGCAAGAATGACATGCGGCAGTTATCTCTCGACGCTGCCAAGGTCCGGTGAACTTCCGAACTTCCCAATGTTCCGGTCACGCCGTCTCAGACCAATCTTTAGGATCGTTCCAGTCCCGCGCGTCCCGGTGCACAATAGGCTGAAAACGTTGGCGGGGAAGCCACGGCGCATGGAACCGACAACACTCAGTCGGATACCAATCACGATGAGGGGCTGACGTTGATCGCTACCTCAAACAAGCGGCAACGACGGAAATTACTGGGGTCATCTGGAGGTTGCTGCAGCTGCACCTTTCTCAATCTGTCCGTGTATGTCATACCGTTGGATGCGGCAATTACATTCGCTTCCGAGCTTGCGGACTTCATGGTGCACACGTGCACGCATGTAGGCTAGCTGTGCGAGAAGCTTTGAGGTACCAGTAAGGGGCACGACTTTCTGTCCTTGGACTTAGACGATACATAAGTTGGCATGCTCTGTGGCTTGTTTATGTGTGACCACAGGGGCTTTGGCAAAATCTCAGAAAATGTCGGCACATTCTTGGGAAGTATATGCAGCAGTGTCCCTGAATAGTTGGAAACGCGTTCCGAACCGTCAGAACTGTTTCGATGCGTCCTGGCACACCTCAAAACCCGAACACGCCATAGAGATCCTGAATGCGAATTAAGGTTCTGATGGCCCACTGCAAGCAGGACACAACTCCCATTCTAAACAAACCAGAAGCTACTCT